AAAAAAACCTGACTGATTCGGTAATATCAGTTTGCCAAACACATGGCTTTGTATGGACGGAAACACAATGGCAGAAGAAGATGGGTGGATGGATGCTCTAGGAACAACAAGTAAGCTTGCAGTACAAGAGTGAAGTGATATGGCACTATAAGGTCATTAAGTTAAGATGGGGCCTGATTATTTAAGATCTTAAGACCTTCTGGATTTAACAGGGAGCCAGTGAAGGGAAGCCAATATAGGAGAAATATGCTCTCTCTTTCTAGTCCCTGTCAGTACTCTTGCTGCAGCATTTAGGATTAGCTGAAGGATTTTCAGGGACTTCCTGATAATAATGAATTACAGTAGTCCAGCCTGGAAGCAATAAATGCATGAACTAGAATTTCAACGTCACTCTGAGACAGGATATTCCTAATTTTAAAAGTATTGTGTAAATGGAAGAAAGCAGTCTTACATATTTGTTTAATATGTGCAGTGAAGGACATGTCCTGGTCAAAAATGACTCCAAGGTTCCTCACAGTGTGACTGGAGTCCAAGGCAAAATTAGAGGTAAACCAGGTTTTTAAGTCTTTAAGACGTTCCTGCAGTTTAAATAATTAGTGTGTATTATCTGGCTTCATGGATAAATAGAGTTGGGTGTAATCTGCATAGCAGTATGTTATGCCTTCTGATGATACTGCCTAAGGCAGGGGTCAGCAACTTTTAATACCCAAAGACCCATTTGGACCCAGTTTCCAAGGAAAAGAAAACACTGGGAGCCCCAAATACTTTTTGACATCTAAAATGAAGATAACACTGCATACAATATGTTTACCGTTATTCTTTGTATAAACAACTATAGTGTGTTGCTTATGAAATTCATGAAGTGCTACAAAGAAAATGAAATTTTATTTATGTAATGAACACATTTTGAACTCTTAAAAATTATAACAAAAAAGAAAGACATCCAGTTGAAGGTCTCTTTTAAATGAATTAAAAAGCTGAACTTAAATTATCCATGTAGCAAACAACAACTGAGCCGTCATCCTTATATCACCTTTGGGCTTTCGGAGCATGTAGCGTAATCTTGACCTGAATTTTAAAAATAATTGGAAAAAAGCACTATGCTCCTAAAAAGTGAATAATAAATATTTGTAAAATATCTACATAAATATTTATTTCAAGTTTATTTATTTAGTATGGCGGGGCGTGGCCTGCAGTGCCGCTGCAGGAGAGGTGGTCATACCGGAGCGTCATCCACAATCACGCCTCACCGCCTTAAAGTCTGTGCTAGCCTGCATGTGCACAGACACACACATATGGTAGAATACTGCATCTAATCATTAGTGTTTAGAAGTATATATTTGGTGGCATATTGAAAGAATGTCTCATCCTAGGGTGACATTCTTTCAAGGTGTTCTGGCGTTCACCCCCACATCCTGGGAGAGGTCGTACCTTGTCTTATTGTTTTACGGTAGGATTAACGTAGCTATGTCAGTTTTAGTTTAAGT